TATACTGAAGGAATAAAGAAGTTGAAGTGAGTGAACACATTAACCATGAGGCTACCCAACTGCACCTGATTGACGTGAGTAATGTCCCTTGTGGACAGGGTACCAGAAGATGTGGTGGGGTAGCCTCGTAACACCGAGGACCCAGTGTCGATTCACGTGACATGGGTACAACACACACTTGATAGTGCAGGAATATTGCTTTATAAAAGTGACAGTAATCCATACTCACATTACACTTCAAGAGACAAATCTATAGTCTTCTCATTGCTTTGCAAAATGCTTAACTCCAGATATATTGAAGATCACTGGTAAATATTGGCTTGCATTATATACACAAGGCAAAAATTATTGTGATTAACTTGAAGTTTGATTTGTGAATTAACAACTGATATTTTTATGATGAAACTTTTTTAATATAGGATTGCCAATGGGACTTATCTGGCGGACACATGCGAAAGAGGTCACAGTGAGAGAACGGTCAAAATGAAATTCAGACAGTCAATAACGTGTATGTCCACTATGAGCATTGATACATGTTTGACACCTGCACCTCATAGAGCCAATCAAACGTCACAGGAAGTCTTGTGGAATGGCATTCCATATCTATAGAAGCACCAGGCGGAGTTCTTGAAGTGGGACTGGGGAATTGTTGGCCAACGTGTCAATCTCCTCTCCATTTCGTCCCAGACGTGTTCGATAGGGGACAGATATGGGAATTTAGCGGGCCAGGGAAGTACGTTAACACTGTGCAGCGCCAAGACCTGCTGAACCACCCTGACGACATGGGGTCTCGCGTTGTCCTGCTGGAAGATCATTCCCGAACGATTCTGCTGGAGGAACGGTATGACGACTGGATTAACAATTTCGTCTCTGTACCTGAGACCCGTTGAATTTCCATTGATGACAAGCAAAGGCGTACGTACGTCCAGCACTCGTTATCCCACCCCAAACCATCACTCCAACGTCGCCAAAACGGTCGCCTCAAGGCCTCAAGGACACAGTTCCTACACATCGCTCACCACGTCGCTGGTAAACCCGGGTCCGGCCATCGGCGTTGTGCAAGAGGAATCTGGTCAGTGAAGAGAACGCCCCACTCAAGTGATCTCCACAACAGATGTTGTCTGCACCACTGCAGTTGTAGACGTTGGTGACGTAATATATTAAAATTGTTGTCTGGCAGCACGACTAGCACGTATCCGTGTGCAGCCAGATATCGGTGTATGGTTCTTGGCAATATCCCTTTGACACCAGGAACTGTTCGGGCTGTCAGTGTGGCTGGTTGGAATGTTTGGCGCATATGGGTGGTTCGAATCCAACGACCGTTGCGTGGCATAGTTACAGGTGGTCTCCTAAGGGACCGTTCATAATTTATGGCTCGTGGGGTAGGGGGTGTCACCCATTTTGTTCTGGGGAGGTAGGGGGTTCATCAATTTTGTACACGTGTACTAGGGGGTGTCATCAATTTCGTACATAAAAACATTTGAAAATTAGGCTTACAAAACATGGGAATGGGGAGGGGGTCATTGATTTTGTACATGACATGCAGAGGGGTGACTTACTTTGTACATAAATTTTAGGGGGCAGTCACATTGTACATGCTTCTCCATAAAATCATCATCTCCTCTTTCCCCCATAATGTTTAGCCATAAATTATGAACGGTCCCTAAAGCGGCATATTGTGTTCCTGTACATGTAACCGCCTCCGTGGTGTAGTGGTTAGAGCTTCCACCCGGAGAACGGAAGGTCGCAGATTCGATCCCCGACTGCGTCATACCATAAGACGTTAACATATGGTACTTGTTGGTCCCTGTCCGGCGCTTGGCATTAATGGGTACAACAAGGACTGGTCGGCTCGGAGTCAGTATAAATGTGTCTGAGTGGGGTATTCATGCTTCACTGCGGCATGGTATCTCAGTGGGCTAGCACTATAAAAAAAAAAACAGCTTAAGTCGGGGCTAGTACAAGCATCCACACATACACATACACACGCATGCACGTCGTCATATGAGCCAAATATTCTCAAGCGACGTTAAATAGAGAATCACCCTCGTGTCTACTGATATCAATTATATCAACACGAGTTGATAAAGTTACAAATATCCGAGGCTTGCCGAGGATATTTTTACCTTTATCAACGAGTGTTGATATAATTGATATCAGTAGACACGAGGGTGAGATTCTATTTATCATCAAAAATCATTCTTCATTAGTTTTCAATGAAAAATGTACATCTCTCAACACTGTACTACCATTAGACTTGCAGTGCAGCGATGTCATAGCATTGTGACATCATCAAGTTGATGACATCATAGCATTGTCAGGGCATTGTACAAAATCTACTGTCAAAACGATATCTCCTAGGAGATATCATATGATCTTACACAAGCGATATCTCCTGTGGAACACAGTTTTGGATGATAAACCCAATTTCACCTCACCTCACCTCACCTCACCTCACCTCACCTCACCTCACCTCCTGTGCATGTTACACTGCTGTGCACCGCTGCACTGGAGCGGTTTGGTTTCAAGTATTCCAATAGCTCACCATCGTTCATTTTCAGTTAGCCGTGGCATAAAGAAATGCAAGCAGATTCTTCTAAATTTGTGTTTTTCGTAACCCGTCGCCGTCTTAACAATGATTTGGGTGACAATGAATTGAGGTTTAGAGTCATGCTTTTTAAAGAGCACATGTTAGGCCTTTTTCCACGAACTTCTTTAAAGCACAAAAAACGCATGCAAAACAAAAACTACCGACATGGCCCTGTTTGGGTTATGGATTAAGTGTATTATAAAGAATATTAAATTGCTTTATGAAAACTTTCTCATTTATATATACAAATGTGTTGATCACACAAATGTTTGCCTTTGAGTATACATGTGTATGGATTTATTCCGTGATCCTGGAAGGTAACCTGAAGAAAGCCGCCTGAGAACATGAGGGAATGGGTTATTTAATCCCCACCAGACAGAAGCTGCCCACTAACTTCGTTATGCAGGATTCATAGATCTATTTAGAGTGTATTTGGGACTCTGCAATGTAGTACATGGGGCACAATATTTTTTGGTACACAGATACAAGAACGAATAATGGTGTACATAAAATATTCATTGGGCATTCATTTTGTATGAAGTAGCATTAGTAATTTTGGAGTGATCAGTTAGGCTGAGAGTGAAAAATATGATAGTATTCAGGTATTGGTTAAACAACGTATTAGTGGAAGTAACGCCCCCTCCTACAGAGAGCAAACATATTGGTGAATGTAGACAATTGAAACAATTAACTCTTGAAACTGAACGTTTGATATGAGATGTTTCTAAGATTCTTTCATTTATTGAAGTTACTGTTCCAGAAGTCAGTCATATTCTTCCAGAAAACTGAATACACCAGACAAATGGAAATGTTCAGTCAAATAAGACTGGTGTTCTGTCAACTCAGTCATTCATTCGGTGTGTCATCATTATTCTTTGTTAAAATGAATAATGCCTTTAATTCACATTTTATATCGGAAAATGAGGGCTTGTTTTTGTTTGTAGTTTATTGCCACATTCAGTAATGCGAAATCATTCGGTCCGGTCTAGACAGTTACTAGTAAGTCATTAACGTGCTAATGTAACGCTGCGGCCGTGGGACCGACGTAAATACGTGGTTCTAAACGTTGGGACTTCCCTCGACCCATACAATAAATTAACAAGAACACAGGCTGTTTCAGGAAGTGACTAACACTTGTCCGAGAACAATAATTAAGGGAGGGGAAAATTAAGAATGAAAACAGCAAGAAACATTTACACACTGTTTAATATGCTAAATAACCCAAAAATCATGGAAAGAAACCCCCAAAACGCGACAAATATGTATCACGGACACAAATGTTCAATTGCACAGACTTTAACGAAACAAGTTCTCAAGTTCTTAACCAAAGTCACTTGCGTGCAAAATCTAACAAAGTCAAATAATATGCACAGTCAAATCAACCCTACATGTGAGCAAATACTTCCTACAATACTATAACTTACAAAAGCTTCATAATTACCACATCACTGTCGTCACGATTGGATAATGGTAACATGTATCAGTCATGATGATCAAGTCAGTGAGTCTGACCATTAGTCGTATTTGTCACCTCTTACAACAACACTTGCTGAAAATCAGTTGGGATCAAGATCTTCATGGGTAAGCACTCAGTGAGCTGCATGGCAGAATGACCTGCACACAACCACGAAAAGAAAATAGTTGAAGTGATGCACGGTAACACAGGCAAGATTGATGAGTGTATGAGTGAGTTCGATTATAGTTTGAAATACTTTATTTCGATTGATAGTGATACATGAGTTTGCTATTCAACACATCAAACATAGTTCTGGTTCACTGGATAAAAACCCAATGGATTTAAATGTATATTTTCTTCACATTCCAATTTTGGGGCATCCATTCATTCATTCAGAAACCGGGAGTCAAAAACATGTTGTTATGATGCTGTGACAACGAGAGTAATGATATAAGTAACTCTGACACGTGTAAAGTAATACTTATAAAATGTGCTGTATTTGTTTTTGATCACCACATGTATCAGTAAATTATCAAATATTACGTGCATAGACAGTGATGCGTTTCCAGATGAAAACGATGCCGTTTTTTAGAGATGCCGTTTTCGCATACGCTCGTTTTGATATATGTTCACAGTGTATATTTCTGAGCGAGTTTATTACTCTACAGGTTTCGTGCATTGGACGTTCGTATTTTTTAACGATATAAACAAATATATGTAATATGTTAGTGTTCGTCAAGTTCCGTCTATGTTCCAGAGGCTTCTCTGCTTTGTCCGTTTATCGATTAGTATTGCTTCCGGTTGAGCAGGATCGGAATATTGTTATGGGTTGATTTAGATCCTTATTGACAGTTTCAGCACTAGTTAGCAATGTAACGAGTGAATAATCGCTGCTTAGCACACTCTGAGGACCACACCATGTCATACACATGGTAAGACTTGTTTAAATGTAACATTTGTAAGGAGTTGTGGAGTAGATCCGAGCTCCGAACTCTGCCCTTGTCCCATCGCTGTAAGGTATTACGTTCGTGATGTTCTCGGAATGTCAGCAATTTTTTAAAATATATCTATAAGTTTCTGATGTATCACGACCGTCTAGGCTGATGTTTTGATATTTACAGGCTGATATTCTGGTATTTTGTTGATAACATTTGTTTCTCTCATACGTTAGTTAGATTTAGTAAAACGGCATCGTATCAAAACTGCACCAAATTTGTATGACGAAAACGGCACAAAATGTGAACGTTATCCACGATATAGGCTATATTTTTTTTATGTGTCATTTCAGTATTTCATTTTCATAGCCATCTTATATGTTTTTGAAAGCTGTACTAAGGCTTTGAATGTTGTAACCCAGATTATACATCTTTTGAACAGGAGTTGCATGAAAGTCATGATTCAATCTGTGTCCTATATTATTAGTCTGAAAATATGACTTCCTCTTTTCTTCTGTTACACAAACAATTAGCCATCTTTCCTGCTGTAGCTGTAGAAAGGGATCATGAGGTTGCAATGTGTCCCCAAGACAAATGTGTGCCACTGTACCTTGCTGTTCATGTCATCAACCATTGGATGCTCTGACCCCAATTCCATTGGTTCAGACTGACTGGAAACTGGAACATTGCTGACTGGTACATTATGTCTCCATTTTCACCACTAATTTTCCTTTTATGCTCAATGAATTTTGTTTCTGTGACTAGTTATTCTCTGGCATTGACGAAACAAAATGTTACCCTCGCTTTGGTCCCAAGGTTAGAATTGCAGACTGCTGGTGATAAACAGCCTTCACTTAATCATATTTTCTTCATATCTTTTTTTCAGAAAAACTGACAGACAAATAACTCTATGGTTTACTGTCAAGAAATTTTTGAATCAGTATCCATTATGAACATACAGAGCGAAAAGCAAGAAAACGATGTCCTAGTTAAAGAAGATCTAAGCACTGAAGATGCTGAAAGCCAGACAGCTGCAAGTACCGGTGATCACAATGTTTGTTATAGTGTAGTCAAACTGTTCCCATGTGTCGATTGTGGGATAACATTTACAGAACTTGGCGACCTACAGGCACACATGAGGCGTCAGAGTGGTGCCAAGCCCTATCAGTGTGGTGAGTGTGGGAAGGCATTTACAGAATCTGGAGACCTGCAGACCCACATGGAACAACACAGTGGCGGAAAACCATATAAATGTGGTGAGTGTGGAAAAACATATGTGACATCAAACAGCTTGCAGAGGCACATTAGGCTCCACAGTGGGAACAGGCCTTTTAATTGTGGGGAGTGCGGAAAATCATTTACAAACTCAAGTGACCTGAAGAGACACATGATGGCTCACAGTGGAATTAAACCATTTAAGTGCAGTGAGTGTGGGAAGGCATTTACTACATCGAACTACCTGCAGACACACATGAGATATCACAGTGGGGTGAAGCCTTACCCATGTACGGAGTGTGATAAGGCTTTTACAACATCAAGCCACTTGCAGACCCATATGAAATGCCACTCAGGTGACCAGCCTTATCAGTGCAGTGAGTGTATGAGCACATTTAGTACATCGAATTATTTAATGACTCACATGAGATGTTCTCACAAAATACTCAAGCCCCACCAGTGTACCGTTTGTGAGAAAGCATTCAAACGATCTAGTGACCTGCAGACACACGTGAGGAGCCACACAGGATTTAAACCCTACCAGTGCACAGAATGTGGAAAAACATTTACTCAGTCAAACCACCTTCAAGCACACCTGCGGTCTCACAGTGGCGCCAAACCTTACCAGTGCAGTGAGTGTGGGAAGGCTTTTTCAACATCAAGTAACATGAATGCACACATGATGTGTCACACAGGAGTGCGGCCTCATCGGTGTCTTGAGTGTGGGAAGGCATTTGCAACAACCAGTCAACTGCGGACTCACACGAGAGGTCACAGTGGAGTGAGGCCTTATTCATGTTCCAAGTGTGGGAAGTCATTTATAACGTCAGGTCACCTGAAGCGGCACATGACGTGTCACAGTGGGGCCAGGCCTTACCAGTGTAGTGAATGCGAGAGAGCCTTTTCACAGAAAGGCCATCTCCAGACACATATGAAATGTCACCGTGGTGACAAGGTTTAGCATTGTGTTGTGTATGTTTGTGTGATGCAACTGGACAACTGAATTAATAACAGTAACTCACAAATTCTAACACAAAACTTGGGATGTGAACAAACAAGATGCAGGTAGTCTGTGCTGTAAATGTTATAAATAGTCTATAAATATTACAACCAGAACTTGTCTAGGGACATTGGTCACACAGAACCCAGCTTGGGATATCAGTGGAAATCATTCATGTTGATGGTTCAGTTGATCATCCAAATAAATATACCATTTCTCAAATTTTCTTTCTTTTTCTATCCTGAATTGTACACGTTCCCAGTGGAGAGTTTGGAGTATAAGTTGTTCTCTGTAAACTATGGGTTTGTTTGTGTAAAGGTAATCCCAGGGTTATTCCAGCTGTATGATGCTTGTAGATACCTTAAAGGCAGGGGTGGAAATAACTTTAAAATTGCTAGTGTACTCCGGAACAGTGGCACATGTAAAGTCACTTGCCCTGATAATTTTTCCACTATACCAACCGTTTTCTTGCTGATTTTTTAAATAAACAACATAATTAACATTGGAAATTCAACTGGACACCGGTACAGTGTGATATACAAATTTGCTTGCCCGACAGAAAAAAACACTGGACTCAGACATCGGGCAATGGGTTATTTCCGCCCCTGTAAAGGTATCATCGGTGTTAACAAAGATTGACTTGGCTAGCGGAATGGCTAATGATGCAGGTTCATGTTCATGCATGTAGTCACAGACTTGTCTGATTCAGAGAGGATTATTTTCAGGCTCACTATATTGCTGGAGTATTGCTGGAGTATTGCTGATAACAGTGCTAAATAAATGGTACAGGTGGCCAAGTAAATTATCCAATAGCCAAGTGTTGCAAGTTCTATCCCTGAGTGGGTTGGGGTAGGGCGCGTAGCCTAGTGGTTAAAGTGTTTGCTCATCACACCGAAGACCCAGGTTCAATTCCCCACATGGGCACAATGTGTGAAGCCCATTTGTGGTGTCTTCCCACCCCCTGATATTGCTGGAATATTGCAAAAAGTGGCGTGAAACCCAACTCACCCTATCCCTGAGTGATGATAGTATTCAGAGATCACTGTTTCAAATATAGGTGAGTGAGTATAGTTTAATGCCGCTTATAGCAATATTCCAGCAACATCACGGCAGGGTACACCAGAAAGGGGCTTCACACATTGTACCCATGTGGGGAATCAAACCCATGTCTTCTGTGTGACGAGCGAACACTGTAACCACTAGGCTACCCCACCGCCTGTTTCAAATATAACCCTGATACTGGTTGAGGTTGCATGATGCAGCCAACCCATTCTGACCAGAGCATGCAATTCATCTCTATTCTTTATTTCAGTACAATCGTGTGGGCCATCAGCTCTATGTACAACATGGTCCATATCATAAAAATAGAGAAGAAAAATCTTTTTCTATTTCTATGTCCATATACAGTCTTACATAACTTTACAAAAGTACTTATGGGAGTGCTCTAATTCTGAGATTTGAGGCATGGAAGATATAACAGGCTAGGTTTCTAATGACAGATTCTTGTTGAGAAGACGTAAGTTAGCTTAATCTGACGTCATTCTCAACACTGTCTGATCTCATTTTCACACATAATGATATCCCTGACACCTGCTGAAAAGTTGGCATAATGATGCAGTACTCTTTCAAGTGTGAGTGAGTGAGTGAGTTTTATGCCACACCCTCAGCAATATTCCAGCTATATGGCGGCAGTCTAAATAATCGAGTCTGGACCAGACAATCCAGTGATCAGCAGCATGAGCATCGATCTGCGTAATTGGGAACCGATGACGTGTCAACCAAGTCAGCGAGCGTCGTGACCACCCGATCCCGTTAGTCGCCTCTTACGACAAGCATGGGTTACTGAAGGTTCATTCTAACCCGGACTTTCGCGGGTCCTCTTTGAGGTGAGGTGAGGTGAAATTAGGTTTAACGTCGTGCTTGAGAATATTTCGCTCATATGACGACGTGCATGCGTGTGTATGTGTATGTGCGGCTGCTTGTACTAGCCCAGACTTAAGCTGGTTTTATAGTGCTAGCACACTGAGATACCATGCCGCAGTGAAGCATGAATACCCCACTCAGACACATTATACTGACTCCGAGCCGACCAGTCTTTGTTGTACCCATTAATGCCGAGCGCCAGGCAGGGACCAACAAGTACCATATTTTAACGTCTTTTGGTATGACGCGGTCGGGGATCGAACCCGCGACCTTCCGCTCTCCGGGCGGACGCTCTAACCACTACACCACGGAGGCGGTCTCCTCTGTGAGGACGGTCTTATCAGTCCACCATATGACCAAAGAAGCAGGGGATACAGTTGATAGGATTTCAAAATGAATATTACTTCGTAGACAAGAAGATGTGCTTTCTTTAGAAAATTTATACAGGCAACGACATGAGAACTCGACGAAACATAATATTTTCCCCGGAGTGGTAAGTGTTTACAGCTTACAGAAATACACACATACTATCAATATGGCTTATACATCTGAAAATGAACACATAGTAACTTTTCAACACTTAAGTAGATTGCTATTTGTTTATATAATTCCCCAAAGGAACTTCTCTGACAGGTAACACATATTCTTGGACACGTTTGCAGCGATCTGGTCGTAAATACACTGGAGCAGGAGACGCCCCAGCCTCGAGTCTCCTAGTCTCTCGTACAGACCCTGAAGCAAATATATCCAAGAAAGCCCACGCAAGTCTAGAAAATGTGACAAGTCTAGATTTCCACAGCTTCAGGGTCTCTGAAAATGAAGAATGTCTCAGGGCTCCTTTTCATATTGTTTTTTACTATGAACTTTTTTTTGTTCATTTCAGAGACTAGAGTCTCCCTGACCTTTCTCCAAGTCGGTAGCGGTTATTTCACCCGATGTCAGAAATATTTTGGCAATACACCGTTCTTACCCAAGGCACAACTACGGTTTACAATTGGTTGAGTTTCCCATGTCACCATGTGATAGCACACAATCACCCAAGCCAGACACCAGGACAATACAGTCATCATCTCATTTTAAAGGGGTTTTCTTATAAATATTTTCATACAACACTTTTTACGTTCCTTGATATGTTTTGCATGTATACGCTTTTCCTGTGATTCTAAACTGCCGATACGTATTTTCCTGTTTAAAACAAAGAATAAATGCATTTTGTTTCAAGCCAGTATTTGAATTAAGTATTTGATTTTCATGATAACATAATTAGGCATAGATGACACATGATATAGTCAAACAATTTGTGAATTCTTGTTTTCAATTATCATCGGACTATATGTTTTCGGAAGTACAAAATGGGTCAGTTTGCGTCACACAGACATTGTAAATACCCGGATGACCTCTTGCGTTTCAGTTTTCATGAATTAGTGACAAGTTTTACGATTGTTCGTGTGATAATGGTGAGGTGAGGTGAGGTGAAACTGGGTTTACCGTCGCACTTAGGATTATTTCGCTCATATGACGACGTGCATGCGCGTGTATGTGTGGTTGCTTGTACTTGCCCAGTAGGGGGACTGGTTATATAGTGCTAGCTCACCGTGATGCCATGCCGCAGTTAAGCATCAATACCCTACTCAGACACATTATCTGATGATTGTCTTAAGAGGGTGAGGTGAAATAGGGTTTAACGTCGTGCTTGAGAATATTTCGCTCATATGACGACATACATGCGTGTGTATGTGTGGCTGCTTGCACTAGCCCATACTTAAGCTGGTTTTAAAACGCTAGCCCACTGTGATACCATGCCTCAGTTAAACATGAATACCCCACTCAGACACATTATACTGACTCCGAGCCGACCAGTCCTTGGTGTATCCATTACTGCCGAGCACCAGGCAGGGACCAACAAGCACCATATCTTAATGTCTTTTGGTATGACGCGGCCGGGGATCGAACCTTCCGCTCTCCGGGCGGACGCTCTAACCACTACACCACGGAGGCGGTCGTGTGATAATGGAGAAAGCAAAGGATGTCCGAAAACCCACAAGACGAGAATACACCAACTCCTGTAAGTGCGAATTCTCTTTCATGGGCAAATGAAATCAAAGTAAAAAGATGCAAACAATTAGCTAAGCATACACTTGATAACATAGCATATTACCCTGCACCCGTGTTTCATCAAATTATCTGAATAACTGATGGTTGGGGGTGAAACTGTTTACACATGGGGTTGCCATGGCACCAAACCTTAGTTTGGGCAACATGAGGAGAGGCTGTCTGGAAAATCCAGACAAACTTGCACCGGCTTCGTGGCAAAGCTGTAAATGGATTTAAGAAGTCCGAAACTCCGCTTGGATGAACGGTAACGTCTTGGCCAGTTTGCCTTGTATGTTAATTTCCCCATGTCCAGTTCTAAAAAATACTTTTAAAGAGTTGAGTTGGGCTATACGTCACATCGGCATTTTTCCAGCCATATAGTGACGAGAACAAGTCTGCATTAATAAACATTTCAAGTACAAAATCAAAATGAGTTTTGTTTCAAAAACATATATAGCCTATTCATTCCATTGTCATTTAAAAACAGAAAATGTCATAGCACTAAATATTCAAAAGCACGCAATTTGTTATTCACATTACACAGTTACAATTTATGATACGGATCAACTTCCCTCAGGAGTTAACAATCAGATGCTCGCTCACGCGGGAAAACAGATCTTTCAGATTTGTCGCATCATAATGTGAATCCCTTGTAGTCGAAAAGTCCACACTGTCAAGCAGAATATGCTTGATGGTGAACACCTCATGGCAAGAGACACACATGGGAGGTCCATGCCCATCCGTTTTCAGCAGATAGTCATGAGTAAAGCGAATGTGGCCAATACGACATCGTCGTAAAATTACCTCATTACGTCTTGACTGACAACCCAAGGAGGTATAACCAATTGTTGGCTTCAATTCATACAGTTTATTTCTTCCTACTTGGGTGTCCCACCTGTTTGGTATGAGGTCCCGAGTATAACTTTTGATAGTGGGTT